TCACCATGGCATGTGTGCCTTATCAGAGACACCTGGAGCTGATTGCCGCTTTTCCCCTCATTCACCGCCATCCTCATTGGTCTTATGTTCTTCGGTAGGAACAACAAGACTCGGATGTACCTGAACTGTTTGTACCTTGAATACACATTCAGAATAAGTTCATAGCAGCTATATAAAGTCTTATCCATTAAACACCATTTAATGAGCATTTACGACAACAAAATGAGACATCAGTGCTGTCGTGAGATAGAGCTCACCCTGAAAACAATCTTTATCTCGAGTCTGGTTTGTGTGTTGTTTAATTTCCTTTTCATATTGTCCAACAGATTCCGTATCTCCGCTTTTCTCCTCTTGTTCGACATCCCTCTTTGTTTTTCGGTGGAAAAACCGAACCGAATTCAACTTCTGCCAAGTAAATATCATTCATATCATATTATCTGGGCACATCTTCAGTCCTAAATTCCAACCTGTAGTGCAGCCGAGAGCCAAGTCAGTTAGTACTTGGTGTGAGAAGCACATTTCTGGAATTACATGACTGGTTTCTAGACATTTCTGTGAGTCCTGATGCAAAAAGTTTATTTATTGAAATTCTCAGGTCATGTTGCATAACCATTTCACCTTCTTGACAAACTTACATTACGTCAAAAGAGCTGTTGGAGTCGCAAAGAAGCGAGCACTTACTGGGGGAGACGTTTACTCATTATGGGTGGGGGGAAGGGCTTCAAAAGAAGAGGGAAAAGAAACATGAGTGCCCAGGGCATTTGAATGCATTCATAAAACAATATGATTTTCTGTTAATATAATGTCAAGAAGTGTAGGAAATCTCTTCAACGTTTTGCTAACAAACATTTCCAATGTGCTCAAAGAAACAATTAAACTTTTGCCAATTTATAGTTTACTTAGTACCTCATATTGTTTAGCAAAAAGCATTGCTTGGCAAATCATTGTCATTATTTTCTATAGCACAAAGTTCAAAGTACTATTTCTCACATTTTCATCTGCATATTGAAATCGAATAGGCAAAGACGTGGGATGCTGTTCTTGCGTATGGGGTTAAAACAAAACTTCACTGGCACTGGGTCCCTCTAGTGAGACAAACTTTAACAGCAGGAGAAAACCCGAAACCCTAGACTAATCCTCTCAAAAGCTCATGTTTGAAGATGAATGGCTGTTTTCAATCTAAGGTGTCTTTCCTCTCCCTATAACTCTCATGAGGTCCATCTACCTAGTGCTGGTCTAACCCGGTGCCCGGGGTCCTCAGAAGTGTTGGTTCAGCACTTAATCTCACGTCTCCCTGCAAACACCTTGGTCTTATCACACACTTCCTCTGTCAGACATTTCCTACTAACACTAAGGACAAGGAACCAATCAGGAGAATGGGATCTCTGGGAACTCTGATTATTGCAACACACTTAATTGATTTTTTTAAAAGAGGAACTCAATGTTCTTCTGGTTTTATAGTGAATGTTGGACCACCCTGGAACAGCTGATGGAAGATAAAAGTACATGGATGACATTGTGACTTTTCGACCAATTATAACATTTGCTAATTAACACATTTTAAGGTTTAAATGCCTGTGAATATTATCAAATAATATTAACATTTTATCAGCATTATTTGCTAGTTTCTAACACACCAAATCATATGTTTTCATGTTTGTTTTTTTCCTACAAAGATTGCTTTTATTTTCAATTTTACAGTTATGTTCACTATTTGTTGTTTCTAATAGACCAAATAACATGTTTTTCAGTTTTTTTCTTCAAAATACTGCTTTTACTATTAAGAGTATACATTTATAAATGATGATAATAATAATAATAATAATAATTAAATGTTGTTAAATAATGTTTGGCAGTGTGTCTTACAAGATTTAACTTATTTAAAAAGCATACTGAAACAATTTAAGGGTTAATAACTGATATTTTACATGCAAATTAACAGTTAACTAAAATAAAAGCAAGAGAACACACATAATGCACATATGACACTTTTTTTTTTTAATAAATCCTAGATAATTCACAGCAAGGTAGAATAACAACTGCAAGTACAGTCTGAAAGTGTGTGCAAAACGGTACTGTTTGGCATGTTGTCTGCTTTATTGCATTTTTCATGGTTATCCCATGAATATTTCACTTATTTGATTCATGGACATTATTTTGATTTTGAAAGAGAAAATGTCAATATAAATCTGCTGAGCAAGTTTCCCTTTTCTTGTCCTCTCAAATAATCATTATCATTTTAAAGTAGAGACTCCGGGGCTACAGACTGCCTTTCACAGAGATAACCTATCTATGGAGGGATTTGTGAAAGGAGTGAATATGAGACAGCCAAAGGATTTTTCCCAGCCAGCCTCTGCCACTGAATGTCCTGCAGTGTTTCTCATTGTTTGCTGCCTCATA